TGTGACAATCTTTAGGGGTACCCGGGAAGTGGAGGGTGGTCTGAGGGAGAAGCTCTGCCCCTGCACCAAGTTGTTCTCTAATTTCTTCCTCTCCTGATGTTATAAGATCAGATTCCAGAAAACAAGAGCCAGGGATCTGTCAGCACGGCCCCCACGTGGGTCTTGGGCGCTCTCCAGGGGCACGCAGGCTTGGGAAGGGGCCACCATCTTCAGGGCTTGGGCCCTGGGCCCTGCTGTTTGTCTTACATGCAGCTCCCATCACCCACTCTCCCCTCTCTGAAGAGCACTCTCCCCAACTTAAATTAGCTCTTCTCTGATCTCCACCTTTTGCTGGGTGTTCTCCAGGGATCGTGGCACAGCTTGGCTTTCCCACAGGCCTGAAGGGTGCCTCACGATGCCCACCCAACTGGAGCCAGAACTCTCAGGCTCAGGCGAGAGACTGACTGAGTGGACACCAGGAGGCGCTCTCTCAGGCCATCATCCTGGACTCCTGAGTCTACAGTGCCCAGGACAGGGCAGCCCCACCTGGGGAGGCCCAGTGCAATTGCTGAAATGCACTCTGGATGCCTTGAGCCCAGTGTGCAGTGCAGAATGGGCTCCACAGTGTTTCTGAGGCCAGGACCTTTCTGAAGCTAGAGCACCAGGCCTGTCTTCTAAGGTGGCCCTGTGTAGGTTTGAACCATCAACCTTTTGTAAGTTTCATTTCTCTACTCCTGTAGAGTCTAACTCACAGCAACCTTCCATCTTTGGAAGATTGTTTCTGAAGCTGTAAATCTTCACAGGAGGATACAGCCCACCTTTCCCCCACAGAGCAGGTGTTGGATTTGAACTGTGGACCTTTCATTTAGCAGCCTGGCATGTTATCTGCCACGTACCACGGTATCTTTTTGGCTTGTCATAGAGCACTTAACTGTTTGCACTCCCCCCCCCCCAGTCCCCTCCCCCGGGGACTCTATAAACTTCTAACAGGAAACCCAACATATTTAAAATTCTTTACATGACTCTATAAACTCCTAACAGGAAACCCAACATATTTAAAATTCTTTACATATAAAGGACAGTGCCAACTCAGCCAGCAGGCTGAACACATTCTCTTAACGAGCTCACAATCCCAAGCTGGACCAGGAAAAGGTGAAGATGCTACCTAAGCTGCCTTTGCCTTTCCAAGCCCACCTGCCATCCTTGGCCACAGCATGGCCAGAGGCCAAGGCATGGCTCGGGTCAAGCTCTCGGGGTCCTATGTAAGGGTCCGGTGGTGCCCACACGACTTACTTCCTTGCTCGGACCACTTTGAAGAGAAGACCGATGACCACACCTATGAGCATGACCGAGGCGAGGAGCAAGCCGCAGCCAACGGCGAGTGTAATCACCAACTTTTGGTCCAGCATCTTACACACGCCGAGGTGTCGCAGGACAGGTGAGCAGTGAACACAGCGTCCCTGCAGCACAAACCCTGGAAGCAAACACTCACACAGATGTCACGGGGGTCGACGGTCCTTGGGGTTAGTGGTCTACTTCCCGGTGACCCCCAAGTGTCAGAGCAGAGCTGCTCTGGACGGTTTTCCCTAGGAGAGGTTCTCGACGTACATCACTAGGGCAAGTGGGCACTGGCCCAGGTATGAGGTCTCTAACTCGAGGGCTGCCTGTATCTGCCGATGAGAAAGGATTCAAACACAAGCTCCAAGGGGAAGGAAAAGCAGAGCAGAGGAGGTGGGGAACTTCCACATCATTTCCATTTGTGGTCACGAGAAGAAGTGTGAAGAAAAGGTGGCCATGAGCTGGTGGTGCTGACCAGCCGGCCTCGAGATGCCCTCTCTTCCCGAGCCCTTGCTGGGCCTCGGCAGGAAGAGCTCTTTCAGGAATGACCAGGGCAGTGGCTTTGCTAACTTAGACCTGAGAGACTGACACGTGCAACTGCTTTGGGAGGGACACATTGTGAGGGGCAGGGGAAGAAGCTTTTCTCACTGACAACTAGCCGACACCTTGGGGTTAAAGGAGATTTCTGGAGACAAGGACCAGACGAGGCTCCCAACACTGCTGGTCCCTCATTCTGTCTTGATGACAGACCACTGGCCTTCCTCTGCCATTTTCCCTCAATCCAAAATTCTTCTTGGAAATCGGATTTCTCTGGAGTAGTCAGTTTGTTTAACACACTGAACCTGGGAGAAAGCAGACTATGAGGAATCTGACCGCTGAAGCCACCACTTACCACCGTCCAGGGGTCCAAGGGCAGCTGCGGGAAGAAACTAACACGGAGATGAAGTGTGGGGAGCAAGGCACTCTTCCGTCTCACACTTGTACTCTGGAAGAGGACGTTTTATCTACATCGTTAAGGAACCATTAAGACCTAAGGTCTCTCCTGCCAGAGCTGGGAAAACAGGCAACCCGGCCAGCTCCTGCCTTATCCGTCAGGATGCTGTGTGACGTCCACGCTCTGCACAGCAGTGATCTGAGTTCTGAATTCCGTTCTGTGTTTATATTTTAGACCCCATGGAAACAGAATACTATTTTGAATCACTTAATTCTAATAAGCGGTGTTTTAGGTTCTGCTTCTGTCTTGAACTGTGTCTCCCAGGGATCTCCTCTCTGGGGGGACCATAACTCTCACGGTTTTGGATGTAACGGGTGGCAGTTATGTTATGAGCCAGTCAGTGGGAAGATCAAGGATGGGATGCAACACCCCGAGTCCCAGACTAGCCCCAATCTGATTCAGTCCCATCCCAGCCCCGAACTGATGATTTTGTTTTTAAATTTTTTATTATTTTTGTGTGAGTGTACCGTCAAATCAGATCTGACTGGTACAGGAGGAGATTGTCCCTCCTTCCTCGGCAGAGCATCTGGTGGATCGAACTGATGATTTGTTGTAAGGAGAATTTCTCTGGAGCGTGGCCTCCAGTACCTTTCATCTTCCAGGAGAGAAGAAAGCAGAAGGGGGTGGGAGATGCTGCCACCACCAGGAAGGCAGTGGCTGGGAGTGGGGCGTTCCTTTGGCCCCAGGTTCCTGCCTGCGATTCTCCTTGACACAGAAAGGCCAAGACACCTGCAGCTTGCCAAGGAATGGTGGGCCCACAGGTGCAGGAAGGAGGCAGGCCCTTCCTCCAGAGCTGACAGAGAACGTTTCTGGGAACCGGCTTCCTGAATTTGGACTTCTAAATCTCCTGGACGGTCAGACAACACATTTCTGTTAAAGCCATCCATCCGCATGTGGTGTTTTTGACACAGCGGTGCTGGGTAACTCTGGGGGCGCTCTGGTGACCTGTCAGCTGGGAGTTCTTCTGTAGCCCCAAGTCATGCGTCTCTGGCCTCAGTAGTGGATCTGTGGAAGGTGGCCGTCTTCTCCCTTCACACGAGTCTGAGTGTCACTCGTACTGGTTTCAGGATGACAAGGAAATTTTAGGAGTAGTCAAAGCTGCCCATACTGAATCCATGAAGAATAAACTGTACGCGTGATAGCAATCTGCAATCAGAACGAAGTACGGAAGCAAGACAAAGGGCCTCAAGGTTATGGATCAACTTATAAGCAATAATTGTCAGGAGATTGAAGTTTAAACTTTTTCTTTGCCTGACTTGACTTTCTTGATTTTTGTCTAAAACATATATAGTGCTGAACATACGATACATGAGTAAAAGTTACTGAATATATTAAGTTGCTTATGAATAAAAATGGAAACTCCTGTCAGGGCACTAGCCATTAACTAAAGATCAAAAAGAAAAAGGTAAAGTGTTCCTTTGGGAGAGTAGTCAATTATAAGTAATCAGTTCCCATTACAAAGTAGCATTTATTTTTTTACTTTTGATACAAGCTTAAAACTTTTTAAAAACCATCTTTCTTAATACCCAAAATATTCTCTGCTCCTTGACGAGTTTTACACAGAAATCATGAATCCTCTTCCCACGCACTCTGAGCATGAGAAGCCACCAGTCATTGGTGGCTCACTGGTTTGACGCCCTGCTGAGAATCTGCATTTCCAGCCCAGATAGAGTGAATCGGGAACACCTCTGGAAGGTGTTGAAATGAACGAACAGAAGCCAACTCTCCTTTAAAGACCTAAATGCATGAAAACATTAAGTTTAAACACTACGATTCATAAAACACGCCTTCTAAAGCAAACATTAGGTGCAAAAGAATCTGTAACGTAGGACAAAGAATTTTCAAGACACATGCATTTATTTCTTAGATGTACATATATTACCTTTAAAAACATAACAGTAGTTATAATTTCTGAAATGTGTCAGCCTGAGAGAGCCGCGATCTCTGATGCACAGGCCTAGAAAGTGACCTGTTCCAACACAGCAAAGGGGAGACTTGCTTGTTCTTTGACGTCACTGAGACAGACAAGACTGTTTCTCCTGGTTTACACCAAACCCCAAACCCTCGGTAAAGAGTCTCACAAGGAAGAGGCCAGCTTGGTTTCAGTGTTGTGTCTACAATGTGACGGGGACAAATTATGTTAGCAGCACCAATATGAGCTAGTTTTATACCTGCCACCACACATTGCATTCAATTACTTCTCTGAGAAAAAAAAATAAGAGTGTAAGTGGAACCTAAATTGAAGATTCCATGTCTTAAGGAACCAGATTTCTAAGAATCAATCAAGTTGAAAAAGGAAAAATATCCAATACCATAGGCATCCTTTTACAGACACACGAAACTATGGAAGTCTTCGTATAAATAAATAAATGCACTCCAATCACACACATACGTAGAAAGCAATGAATGGCAACTGAAACTCTTAAAACCTTCAAGCAAGTAAATATAAACTTCTTGTAAGAATGAAAAATATTACTAGTAAAAATAATTTAAGCCTTACAGGTTGGCTCTCGTGCACAATACTGGGTTTACGACAACTGGAACAGGAAGGAGGACACCGAGGTCCGTTTACGTCTGAAGGCGAACGGTAAAGGATACGGAATCCTTGCCTTTCTTACTCCCTCATGGCGAGGCTTTCGTGCACATACGATGTAATAAATAGCCGAAGCATTCTCCATCTGGTGGGCACTTATCGCTCTCCGTTTGAAAGTCTTTCCCCAGAATCATACTGTTTGAGAGGCATCCCAGGGGCCAGGGAGCTGGAATTCTGTAGCAAGTCTATTAATAAAGCAATCTTACTATCTATGTGCTCCTGGAGTTTACATATTCGCTGATCAATATGGTCCATGAGGTTCTTTTCCATCAGTTCCATATTTTTAGAAAGGATCTTTTCCAAGTAAGAGCAAACAGGTTGTTCTTTCTCTCTGAAAAGAAAGAATTACAGCTGTTATCCTAACACTCGCGTATATAAACAACGTGCTGTCCACAACCCTGACCCCTGTTGACGATCCTGTTTTGTCAGAGTGTATTTTCAGGTTCTGATAAACATACACACCAGTCGGCTACTGCCCCAAGTTCCCCAACACATTCTTATTTCTTTAATTTATAAACACCTAAGTCTATAATTACAAAAACCAAAGTTCGTAGAATCTCTACCTTAAGGAACAAGTCTTTTTAGAAAGGGGATGGAGCAAGAAAATTTTTTAAATTTCAAATTTTAGATTTACTTTTTTAAATTTTCGTATCAGAATCGATCATGTTCATTTTTTCTTTTACGTCCTCTCAAGTAACCTGCAGTTTAAATAGTTTTGCCTTCTTTCATTCAAACTGAGTGAAATACTGGAATTTCTTTTTTAACAATTTTACAATGACAACAGGGGGCTCTTACGGCCTTGTGGGAGCTGCCTGGCCAGCTCAAAGCCAGCTGGTCCATGGGAGACAGATGGGCAGTCTTTTCATGTGCAATGTACTGCCTCTGAAAAGCCGCTGGGCAGTCAGTTCTGACTCGATGGTACTTATCCGCAACACTATGAAGACATCTAAGAATTTAGCGGGACTGAGCAAAGTAAGTATTAAGTAAGAAAAGGAAGCAGTGATTTCCCAAATGAAGTTCACCGCACTTTTTAGAAGAGGAATTTCCAGAGTTTGATCAGCAGAACCTTGGGCTCTTCTCAGGGGTTCCATTAATTCTGTGATAATGAGAGAAACCACCGACAGCTGCCCTCCAGTCAATTCCAATTCATGATGTGCTTCTTGGGAATCAGAGTGCCCTGCTGGGTTTCCAAGGACGTGATCGCCATGGCAGCAGGGCACCCCATCTTGCCCCCACAGAGCTGGCAGGGGGTGCAAACAGCAACAATTGTGTTTAGCTGCCGAGTGTTCTAACCACCGCACCACGAGGTCCCGTTTTGTAGCAGTATTAAGATGTAAGACCTGTTCCTTGTCTTGCGGGCCCTGTGCTACTTTCAAGGTAGAGTGACATCTGTCTAGAATCTAATAAACATTTGGTAGCATACTGTCATGTTTCCTAGATTTTCCCAAGTTTGTCTAAGAACATGCATACACAGATGTGGTGTGGACATGAATTTTCATGTCTCTGGGATGAACGGCTAGGGAGATGATTGCTGGCTTATATGCTAAGTGTGTGATCTGTTTTCTGAGAGCTTCTTCATCATAGACGAAATGTTTTACTGTGAATCAACTTGCTGATACGGTGGATTATATTAATTTTTGAAAATGGAGCCAGTCTCACATACCCAGAATACATCCTCCTGGACCAGCGGTGAAGATTCTCACTGAAGGACACACTGTGCCCAGTGCTCTTCCATTTAGTTCATGAGTCACTGGCCTACTCTTTTCATACTGTCTCTGTCTGGCTTTGGTATTGGGAATCCTGACCTGGTAAAAACAGATCCACTTTTGGAAGTGACTGTGCAAAACTGGGGTCGCCTCTTCTTTAAATGACAGTCCACCATCACACCATACCCTTTTTTAAATGTGTGAAATCGTCTGTTGTTAGGTGCCATCGAGATGATTTCTACTTATACCTGTCCTAAGCACTAAAGGTTAAACCGTGGCAGTGTTCCACAAAGCCAGTCAGAGCCGGTTGACAATACTGTTTGGGTCTAGCTAAGCATGGTGTGCTGCCGTCTTCAAAAGAATTCATTTAAGCTTCTATTTCTCATTTTACATCTTACCAGTTTTTGCTTCATTTATTTTTGAAACCGAGTTGGTGGATACTCATTAGGCAATGTTTGTAATGCTTCAAAATATGTGAGAGACGGGTTCAATTCTTCCAGTCAGAGGCACTGAGTTCCTTTCAAAACGCTCCACTTCACTTGGAAGACATTTATTCCTTCCCAGTGTGTTAGAGAGTACTGGTGACCTAGTGGGTAAGGAGTTGTGCTGCTAACCCAAAGGTGTGACGTTTGAACCTACCAACTGCTCTGAGGGAGAAAGATGGGCAGTTGCCTCCTTTGCAACTTAAAGCCTCTGAAAACTTGGAAAGTCAGCTGTGAATCAGTTCTGACTAGGCAGCAATGAGTTTCTGTTTGATAAATGCATTCATGATAAAACGCAAATGCTCCTGCAAGTACATCTGCAAAGAGATTTTCAGGCAGTATTCACGAAGACAGATCTGTTTTCCTTAAGCTTTTTCTCCTCCCTTCCAAATCTAAACCACGACTGTCTTAAAACAAATACTCACGGGACGCCAGCAATGCCTGCAGCAGGCTTGGGAATCTTCTCCTGCCACTCGGCCTTGTTGCCCACGCGGAGACTGTTAACTTGACCGCATAAGTTCTGGAGAACAGGAAGCAGCTCAGAGTTAGGGATCTCCGAACGGTCACTCGCTTTCTTTGGGAAGAAAGAGGACACTATATGTGTGAGGTCATCTTCAAGAAGAACACGGCTTTGCGGCCCCCTTTCACCTTCACTGAGGGGCGCGGTATGTCCTCCACCAGCTGGCTGTGTGGTTTTATCAGTGTAGCCTGTTAAGTCTTCAGTCATTTTGCCAGATGCCCGTCCAATTCTGAAAGGAAAAGGAGTGGAGGACGACTTGTTCAAGGCCCCTACAGGAGGCGGCGGTTGTAGTCCAATCATATGCTTGTATCCAAGACTGCCCAAGACGGACTGAAGCTGCTCTCCAAAGGGAAGGTAAGTCTAAACAAGGCAAAGAGGGCAGTGTCAGAGCTCATAAAGCAGTAATTAGTAATGATGGCCAACTTCTGGCGTATTGACTAGGGCCAGGCACTGGGGGTTATCTCACTGGTCCTCCTAACACCCTCAGGAGGCAGGCTGCCATCACAACGTCAAGTGGAGGAGAACGAGGCTAAAGAGACCTGGTGCAGGTAACACCGCTCGGGGCTGGGTGAAACGTGACGGGAACCCAAGCTACCAAACTCTAGAGCCAGAGCTTTTTTACTACAGTTTTCCCTAAAGAAAATATTAACTAGTAGCATGCTTACAAAACGGCACTGGCAAACTTTAATATCTTCACTAGCTGAGCTCAAGGCACTGTGGGAGGGTGGGCTCAGAGTCACAGGAACTGCCCCCTGCACCTCCCTATCCCGCCCCCATCATGCTGCCAAGGCTGTGGCTGTCTCCAGACAGGACACCCCATCTTTCTCAGCACACTTCCCCCAACAGGATCTCACTCCTACATGAGTCATAATAACCAATAACTATCTTAGGATTAAACGAAACCATTCCTCAATTGTTCAACATATGATAAGCTACTCATTTTTACTTAAATGTATTTTTGCAACTAGTTCTTTATGGAAGCTACTCCACATAATTATGCTACTTACTCTATGATTATACTCAAAATCGTAATAACTAAAATAAGCTACCTCCTGGGTGTTATAAGAATTTATAGAATCCAGTTACATTTGTGGCCTTAAGTTAAAGGCCTATACACTGTCCTTTCCTGTGAAGACTGGCTCACCTTTCACAGGGAGTAACTCTGTCTCCTATGCAAAGCATCGCCTTGTATGTTCTTCAATTTGTCAACAAGGCAAAACTATTTACAATGTAGCTGCCTCTGAAGGTGTACGGCTCCATTTTACATCCCAAACAGAACTGTGCGCTAGGTTCTGGTCAGGAGATCACATCTTTTACTAACTGCTGCTCAAAAGCTGGTGTGACAAAACCAAAGTGTTTAAAGGTCTGACGACACCACGGTAGAGTCTGGAAGGAAGATGTCATCGTAAACAGCTTTATTAAGACGATGTCTCACTGAAGCTGGAATAGAAATTTAAAAAAGATCCAAAGGTCCTGGGGCAGGAACACATTTGGGCATTTGAAGGATACGCACATCCGAATGTCCGGAGCAAGGTGCCCACGGAGATGTGGCAGGTAAGACCAAGGAAGCAAGCGAGACACAGGTCAGAGAGGACGCGATGGACACCATGCAGTCAGGCTACGCTCCACAGGAAGCAGTCAGTCGGTCAGGGGACTGGCACAGGGGAAGGCCGGGTCTGAATCACCCTGTGGGAGCATTCTGACTGCCCTGCGGGGAATGGGTTAATGGAGCCGGAAGCCCAGACAGATGCCCCCTGAGGTGTGTGCTGAGAGAATGAGGGGCAGGAGGGAACACGCACCTCCATTTTTACCTGCACCTTTTCCTAGTTTCATGATCATCAACTCTCCTGTTCCTCTGCCCCTTCCTCAATCTAACAGTACTAGCACTGCCTGTAAACCACACAGAAGTTCCAGGGACTTTCTCGTACTACCTTTGTTCCAAAGTTAGTTTTATTGATGTGAAGTAGATGTACACACACAGCTAACAAACCCCTGCTATTTAACGTAAAATCCTTCTCTCATGACCAGAACACCACTTCTGGCTCCCCAACCACCCCTTTTCTGTTCTTCTATCAAATGCTGTCCTCTCCTCTCCTCTTGTGAATAATTTTTCTCTCCCTCTATCCTCACCAAACACAACCACTGTCCAGCGAGGCTGCTTCCCAGTTCGTCTCTCCCTTTCTGCTTTTCTACTCATCAGCTATGGGAACACCTCTCACATTTCCTTCCCAGGAAACCTGAAGTCCCACTCCACCTTCCTCAGGCCTGTGTTTCCAAATGAGGAAAAGATCTTTCCAGGTAATGTTTCACTCCAAAAGGTGAACAGGCCCCCAACTAACCTCCTTGCTTTCTAAAAGCCTTCAACTCTTGTTTTCCCTTTATATTACTCTTTATATACTGACGTTACTATCTGAAAAACCCCCATTTCACGTTTAACTCCTATTTTTCCTGCAATGCCAATAGTAAGTGGGCTGACAGGTCCAGTTGACCTCTCAGACCAGTGTATTACTGTTTCTAAATTCAGATGCCCATTCTGTTCTATCTGGGCTAGAAAATGTCTGTGCAGCTGGTCTCTTTATGATCTCCCCATTTTCTGGTTAATTTTTCCTTCGGACTCATAACATGCATAATCCTCAAACTCAATGGGACGCTGAACCAATTCCCAGCCGACCCTCCAGGGGGTATGGAGAGCCTGTAAATAGGATGGGAGGAGCCCTGTCCCGCTCACTTGCTTGGAGCTGCTGTGGTCAATTTGAGCCCCCAGAGAGGCTCCAGCTTGGGGTTGGCAGCACAACTCTTTCCTGACTCCGCCCCCAGAGTTCCCTTCCCGCATAACAAGAGATTAAACGTTCTTAAGCGGAGCTCAAAAACACCAGTCAAAACATTCAAAGCTCTGTGATTTATTCCTAACTGCCCCATTAAGTCTTCAATCTAGGGAAAAGCAATCTACCTTTCCTAGGTATACCCTATACCTTCTAGCACTGAAGACTACTCTTTTTCTGGAGCTGTTTTTGCCAAATCCGATCCTTCCTTTTCAAAGCTCGAGATAAGACGCCAGTTCCTTCAGAAAGTCTTTTCTAATCATTCTTCCTTCATATACACTAACTGAACGAGTCGGACTATGAAGATCTTCACAGACAGGCTAGTGACCAATCATCTTTGCACCCTCCCAGTGCCGAGCTCAGTGCCTTGTTCACTCGGGTGCTTAATAAATTCATGCTGAGTGAATGAGTTCATGGAGCACAGGTGAGGAACGTCACTCAAGCCATTCTGTGTATGAGGAGCCCTGCAGAAAGCTCTCTTTAGAAAACCAACCCTAACAGGCAAAATCACAATACAAATGCAAAGATCGACTTCTAGGTCACCATGGAACGTTCTTGAATTTGTGTACTGTTTTATAACAAATCCATTTCTACTTACCTGCTGCTGAAACCTAAGCATGTTCATCAACTGCTGAGCTCCGGGCGATAACTTCGACCCCACGGACTCCACCATGGTCTGAACCCTGTTCAGGTCAATCCGTGATCCGAGGGCAGGGCAGCTTGTGGAAGAGCTTCCCGAGACTGGTCGCATGTGCAGCACAACTTTACCGACGAGGACACAGTGCTTCTCTCCAAAGGAGAGCAACTGGTGCAAAAGAAGTTACGGAAAAGAATGATACTCAACCATCGCTCACTTCTTTCTAGTAACTACGTAGGCGGGACATATTCAAGAAAACCAGGATAAACCTTAATCTCTCTTTTTTTAAGATTGTTTACTACATTCATAAATTCATTTAAAAAATATTAAGTGTGGGCTTAAATTTTGGTTCCATTATTTTTAAAGTACTTATAATAACATAAGTTAAACATATAGTTACTATATGCTCACTATAGTAAACACATACTTAAAAAGTTAAATATATACTTTTAAACATGTTGTTTAAAAGTGCCTATATAGCAAGAGGGAGCTCAGTAGGTGGCCTACTGGCAAGAAGTTGCACTGCAATCCCAGAGGTACGCATTTCGAATCCATCAGATGTTCTGCTGGGGAAGGAGGGGCAATCTCCTGCTGGACCAGTCAGATCCGATTTGACGGTACACACACACACACAAAAATAATAAAACTAAAAATAAAAATAAAAAAAGGCACCCATTTAGCATAAGTTAAACAACAATTTTTTTAAAAATTAATTTTAATTAAAGTTTATAGACTTTGGGTTTCCATTCACATTCATTGTTGCACTTTTCTCCCTGCCCAGCACTCCCCCCAATTTGCTCTTCTCTTTGAAAAGCAAAAGAAAAATTCTTTCATTGTTATACAATCCCTCCCCCCAGTCCACTTCACCATGCTGCCTTCATTCTGGACTCCTGTCATGACAATAATACCTAATCATAAATTTTCCCTACACTGGTCTGAACCTGTCATTTATTATGAACCTCAGGGGAACTGTTTAAGATAAAGCAATGGCATTTCAAACTGATCATACAAAAAATATAAAGTGGGTTAAAATAAAGTTTTACTTAAAGAGGGTGAAAGAAAAGAATACTAGGAGAATATCAATTTGTGCTTTATTGACTATACAAAGGCATCATCTGTGTGGATCCTAACAAGCTACAGCTGACACTGAGAAGACTAGGAATCCCAGAACACCTGATTGTGTTCACGCCAAATCTGTACGTAGACCAACAGCAGGCTGCTGTCCAAAGAGCAAGGAAACACTGCATGGTTGAAATTCAAGAAAGGTGTGCATAGGGACTGTATGCTTTTTCCATACTTACTCAATTTGTATGCTGAGCAAATAATTAGAGAAGCTGGACTTAATGAAAAACACATGGCATCAGGGTTGGAGGAGGGCTCATCAACAACCTGCGTTATGCACATGACACAAGCTTGCTTGCGGTGAAGAGCACCTCAAGTGCTTGCTGCAGAAAATCAAGGACTATAGCCTCAGTGTAGAGTGCATTTCAGTATCAAGACAAAAATTCTCACAACTGGATCACAGGCAACATTATGCTAAGATGGAATAAACACTGAAGTTGTCAACAACTTCATCTTACTTGGATCAACAATCAACACCCTTGCTACCATCAATCTGGAGATCAGAGGAGGTACTGCCTTGGAAAGTCTGCAGTCAGGGGCCTCTCTAAAGTCCTGAAGAGCAATGATGTCGGTATGAAGACTAATGTGCACCTAATTCAAGCCATGGTCTTTTTAATCACATGCTATGCATCTGAGAGCTGGACAATGAATAAGGAGGACAGAAGAATCGAAGCCTCAGAATTCTGGTGTTGGAGAAGAGTGAATATCCCATGGACAGTCAAAAGAACATATAAAAACATCTTGGGGAGTGCAGCCAGAGTGCTCCTGAGAAGCCAGGAGAAGGATAAGAAGCTTTGTCTTACATACTCTGGGAATGTTGTTAGGAGGGGTTATTCCTTGCAAAGGGACACAATGCTTGGAAAGACGGAGGGTCAGTGAAAGAGAGGACAACCCGCAATGAGGTGGACTGGCACAGCGATGGCAGCAACGGGCTCAAGTGTGACAGAGATGATAGACTGCTCAGGACAGAGTTCAGAAATGTTCACAGGGTTGCTATGATTCATACCTGACTTGATGGCACCTAACAGCACAACAAAAGTAAACTACACCAATATGAGACCATAACACACTGACACTTGCTCTAGTATTATTTAACACAAAGCTGTCCAGAAGCCTATTTAAAACATTTACTGACATTAATGGGGTTTCTTGGTGCTACTGAGGTTAGCTCAGATGGAGATGGTTAGCATCACTCGGCTTTTTAAGCAGATATTCAAAACACTTGAGACTTCATGGTTCCAATCCGTGGTGGTGTAGAATCCACTCGAAGTTGCACGTGGATTTTCAACTGCAAAGGGAGGGGAGGTTGGTGGTCCTAAGCCTTGAGCTGCCCCAGGGTCAACTGTGTAAAACCAAGGCTAAAACGACCTAGTAGACATGGTTGGCTTCTCCATGGAAATGATGACCTGAAGAAATTTTCTAACCTGTCACAGGAATCCTCAGCTAGTGAACTCAGGTCTAGAGCCCAGATCTGCCAGCTTCTATCCTAAGACTTTCTAGCTCTTTGTGCTGCCGTGGGTCATCTCTGTCTCTGAACCAAGAAGCAGAGCCCGAGTGGTATGGACAGCAGAACAGAGAGTGGAAAGGGAGGAGCCGGCAGAAGCAGCACACCTGGATTCCTAACGTGGTTCTGCTCCTTACAGCCCGGGTGACCCTGCGCAAGTGACCAAAGCCAAGCCAGAAGGGAAGGGAGGGAAAGTGAGGGGAGAGAACAGCAGCGAGTCCCACAGTCGTGATAAGGATTCAGTGTTAAAACGCCCGAGTACTGACTGCGGACTCAGTGCCCAGAAGCAAGTGCCTTATCCTAACTGTCACCTACTACTGCCTTAAAACAAGCATACGTATGCCTGGTACATCCTAAGATAAACAACCCCTTATCCTCACAGAAGGGTTACAAAAACAGTCACCTTCAGGAAGAACCAGACTCTGTGAGTGACATAAAGGAGGTCAGTGTCCTCCCACCACCTCTGTGCATTTGAATTCACTATGAAACAATCATTTTCTCTCTGGCTCAAGTTATTATCTGTCTCCTCTGAGTAAATTATTAACAACACAGGAGCAGACATTCCAGTTTATTTTCTCACTGACGACTCACTAATACCTGGTATAGTTTTTGGTATTTATATATTGTTGCCTCAGGTTGGTGCCATCAAGGTGAGCATGACCCACAGTGACTCTGTGAACGACAGATCTGAACGCTGTTCTATCCTGAGCCATCTTCACACTCCCTGACACACTAGAGCCCACTGCAGCAGTCACTGTGTCAATCCAGCTGGTTGAGGGTCTTCTCTTCCCCTGCCCCTCTACCTTTCCAAGCATGATGTCGCTCTCCAAGGACCAGCCTCTCCTAGCAACATGCCCAAAGTATGTGAGATGAAGCTTTATCATCTTTGCCTCCAAGGAGCAGTCTGGCTGCACTTTCTCCAAGACATTTTTGGCAGTCTATGGGATATTTAGTATTCCACAGCTAAAAGGCATCAATTCTTCCTTTCGTCATCCTTACATAGATAGTGGTTACTCAGATACATGTAGAATGAATGGATTATTTCTTTAAACTACCTCACCTCTTTCCTCAGCCCCCACCTAATTTTGCCATGAGTTATGTCCTACAGGTGAAGAGATTCACCCCGTCCACTGGGCTAGTCAAGAACAGAGCGGGAGCTACACTGAGAGCTTCCGGTTTCCAGCTCTTCCTGCTTTCCCAGACAAGTGACATCTCTAGAGTTCATCTCAATGGTATTTGTTGAGTGCAAAGCTTTAACTGTAGCTCTAACTTTGTTCTACATTTCTTGATATAAAGGGTTCAAAGCTGCGTATACTTTTCCTGGTACCACTTCACATAAAGATAGATAATGTGGTTTGGGGTTTTTTCCCCTTGCATCATGTTCCAGGGCTTCCAAACTCAGTCCCTCTGTACTAACAAAAGTTTGTGATATTTCCATATCATTAAATGGTCAAATTTTAAGAAAAGACTTCAATCTTAATTTTTTTTTATTTTTAATTTTTATTGTATTATTTTTACGTGTACCGTCAAATCAGATCTGACTGGTATAGGAGGAGATTGCCCCCTCTGTCTCCAGCACAGCATCTGGTAGATTTGAACCGCGTACCTCTGGGATTGTAGTGCAGCGTCTTGCCACTAGGCTACCAGAACTCCCTAATCTTAATATTTTTAAAGCGCAGTATTTCTGAAGTTAAACTAGACACCAAGTTGGATGAATTGCATTACCAAACCAACTGAAAGAAAATAGTCTGTATTATACAAAAACATTTGTAGGTGTCAAATTGGTTAAGATGTAGAGATGACTCACCTTTATTTTACAAGCATGTGTGGAGGACTCCAATCTTAAGTATTTTTTGTACAAGATAACCTCACGTTTGCTGAAAATACAGTAAAAATTATTATTTTACTTTTCTATATTATCTTTTTAAAAAAATTTTATTAATTTTAATGAAAGTTTACAGAGATTTTGGATTTCCACTCATTCACTGTTGCATTTTTCTCCCTGCCCACCCCTCCCCCTGCCCAGTTTGCTGAATTAAAGAGAAAGGTTTTTAGGGAAAAACTTAAACCCTGAGTTAGTCTAACTGATGACAAGCATTGAGCCTCCACAGGTGACCTATCACTTATGATCTGTGACAGAATGGAATCACACAATCCTCTTAAAGTCACACAGCTCAGATCATACCGTAAAATTTTCTAGTGGCTTAATGGTTAAGGAGCTGTGCTGCCAACTGAAAGGCATGCAGTTTGAATCCACCAGCTGCTCTGTGGGAGAGATGGGAAATCTCTTCCTGTGTGATTTGCTGCCTTTAAAAACCCACTGGAGGGTCAGCTACGAGTCCGTCCAACTTAAGGGTATATAACAACAACACTACTTCCAACATGCACAATATGTAAAATAGTTTGTAGTTTGAATTATACATGGAGAACTTAAGGTAGAACTTTCCTACAAGAGACCATAGAGATGATCAAATTGTAACAGGATGAATTTAGGATTCATTAGGCTGATATCAACAGTCTCATGGACCATATATAATGGGCTTCCTACAGAAAGCTATGTTCAATTTCCAGGATGACTGGCAAATAACTCTTGGTAATAGACCACTGAGGTTATGAAGAGCACCCTGAAGCAGTAGAAAGGACTGCAGTTATTTCTAGCTACTCCCACTAAATTAGCTGTGACCTACCAAGTCACCTCCCCTCCATGGTTATACTAGACCTGACCTATTGCCATCAAGTCACTTCCAACTCACAGCCACCCTCTAGGGCAGAGATTCGCTCCTTACTGTGTTTAAGACTGCAAATCTTTATAGGAGCAGATGGTTTCATCTTCCTCCTGCAGAGTGGATGGGGGGTTCAAACTGCTGACCTTTTGGTTAGTAGCTGGATGCTAATGTTAGCCACTGTGTCCGCAGAGCTCCTTCCATTAGCTGTAAGTTTGCACATTTATAAAAACGAGAAGGTTGGCCCACATTGTCCTCTAAGGTGCTACTCCTGCTGGTATTCTTTTCTTTGGTATTCTTCTCTCCCCTAAAGTCTACCCCCATGCAAAAGAATAAAGAAATACTACAGAATACACTCCCGTGTGTCCCAGTCACACACCTGCTGTCCAGGACGGTACACACGTTCTTGCCCCTGCTGGTCCCACAGTACTCCTCTCCTAAGTACACTTCCATATTTCTTGCTGAACTCAGAAAGCCAACAGCAACAATTTCTTCACCTCCACGGGGGTCACAGGTGAGGTAAAGGAAGCAGGAGCTTTCATCCTGGTTGTTTGTGTTCCTCTCCAAAATCACCAGATCTTGGCTGCAGGCAGAAAAATTACAATATTTCATAGTATAGTCTTCGCAACGCTGCTCTTGACGCACTTGTTAGGCTGTTAAATAAGTAATAATGCCTTTGCCTGGGGCCCTAGAGCACTGCATAGACTTGCCTCTCCAGGTTTAAGTGTCTGTAAATTTAAGTGTCCTTTCTCCTGATATCCACATCTGGAGGCTAATGGTGCTGGGGCTGGTGGATATGAACCACAAGCCACTTTCGGTGAACAGCCCAACTGCTGAACCAGGGTGCCTTGTCAGGCCGCTGGGAGACATTTTACTGAACTAATTTGCATTTGATATGAGGTTCAAGCACCTTGCCAACAACCCAACAAATGCCCTACTAAAGAAATTGCTGCTTCAGATAGCAAAGATTCCCTTCTAACTGCTTCTCAGTTCAATCAGGGGGCCCTGTGCTTGCTTTTGTATCAGTGGTTGGGGCACACAGCCTATTTCTGATCTCAACAAGGGCCCGGATTCTTAGGACTAACCTACCAAACCCAAGCCAAGCCGCTATCACAGTCCAGCTGACTCAAAGTCACGGCAACGCTGCACTGGATTTTGGAGGCTGTGAGTCATTACAGGAACAGTCTACCTCCTCTGTTCTCCCAGAGTGGATTCGAACCACTGACCTTTTGGTTATCAACCCAACTGGTTAATACCAGGTCTGCGGGACTCCTTCATTCATGAGACAGTATTAATATACAAAGGACGACTGAGGACCCGAGTGTTCAGGCCACCATCGCGGTCCTCTGCTTCCCCCATTCATGCACGAGAAGCAGCGTCCGATCCTGCTGGACCCGCCCCACAGCTCACGGCCATCTCGGTCCTGCCCCAGGGACACCTGAACCTCTCGGCCCTGCTCCCCGCACACACCTGTCACCAGGTACACTCCCCGATCCCGGGCACAGACCTTCCACCTCCCCACCTGCTTCCCCCAGGACCCAGCGCAGCCCCGGCCGCACACACCCCGGAGCAGGCGGCGTCAGCAGCTCCTCCCAGTCGAGTTCCCCGGCGCCAGGACCACCGCGGCTCAGACAGAGGCTCTGGGTCAGGGTCCCGCACGGCGTATCCCAAGAAGAGGTCAGAGTCGGGCGGCGAGTCAGTCCCGGGTCCCCAGTCCCGGCCTCCATTCCGCCGCCTCCGGCCCCCACGAGACCGGAACCTCTCTTCTGACGCCCGAGTTTCCGTCCGTGCAGAGATGAAGAACGGAAGCAGCGCAACTTCCGGCCTGTAAGACTTCAAACCTCGGCTTCACCGCCACCCAACTCCGCTCGGAGAAAGCAGCCCGCCGGAAGCCGGCCGACGTCGGCACGCATGCGCGTCACATTCCGCCTCAGTAACCGGGGCCAACCCTGCGGGGAGAGGGGAACTCCGGAGGATGAGCATGCGCAGTGCCTGCAGCGCCACCTGCTGCCGGTGCAGTTTACGCGCAAGCGCAGTGCGGTGTGAGCGGCCACGTGGTCGTTATTTGACGTTATCTGGGAGAAGAGCGCAGGGCGTGTCGCCGGTGGGTGTTGAGCCGTTCTGTTGTGCTGATCCAATGAGGGGAATCAGCCCTTCGTTTTACGTGACCTGGGAGACCCCTTACCTGCTCCCCTTCTGGACCTGGGGATGCGCAGCCCGCAGGTGGGCAGGTTTCACCCGCGTTCTTATCCCATCCTCACGCCCCAGTAATTCTTTCTGCTTGCCCCACCCCCAGACAGTGTGACAGCTCGGTTGGATGGTTGGTGGCAATTTGGCTTTGACAAGAGGTCTGAAGAGTGTCACGGACTGGATGTGCTGAGGCCAGGGAGGTGGTGTCTGATGGAGACGGAGGCTTGCAGGACCTTTATGGTGCTGCCATGTAAGGTCCAGCAGCATTAACAAGTGGTGTGGAGAACAGGGGGTGACCCCTTTCTCCCGGGCTGCAGTGGTTACAGAAATGAAGGTGCAGAAAGAAACATGGTGTGCGAGATCTTCCCCCCCTGGCACTGGAGAAAGTGAGCAGAAGGGCCCAGTGAGGCGAAAGGTAACTTGAAGGACCTTTCCAGACTTTGCCCAATAAAAGATAGTTGATTTATTTCCTTCCTTCCCAGTCATCCCTACTTTTTGAATCAATATTGGAAAACACTGCATAGTCAACATTCTTGAAAAGAGTGCCCGTCCTTGTATTTATGGGGCATCCACCTCAGAAAAAGAAGCATTTTTTTCCTCCTGCAATCTATTTTTTCTTTATGTCTCAGTATTTGCTATTTCACCTGCTGCACACCTTTTTTTTTTTTTGGGTCAGGTCACCCGAGCATGTATTTAGACCATTTCTGCAGCCTTGGATCTAATGAGTCAGATCAGGGCCTAACTAGATCCAAAGACGCATTAAACAGGTTGAAATTGGAAATCTCTTTTGCCCTAGCTGGGAGATTGTTAGAAATGTAGACTCACACCCCAGTGTGTGACACTCTGTGCTGGGGCCCACAAGCCTCCCGGTGATTGATGATAATGCTTGCTGAAATGTGAGAACTGCAGAGCTCACAAATAGAAGGACGATTAGGACATTTGGGCCTTCGACTTGTAGCCCTGCAGGAGATGCGCCTGAGGACTCTGGAGTGGTTGAAGACAGGGCTTGAAGGAGAATGCAGCTTTTAGAATTCTGGTGGAGCCAGAATTGACTTTGAGTGCTCCTGCCATAGATGTTGATGGTGGATTCAACTAAAGGGAAATCCTCGACAATTTCAGTCTTTATGATGATGTTTCCTGTGGACCCAGTTGTGAGGATTACGGGTTTTTTGATGTTGAGATGTAATCCAAATTGTGGGCCATAGTCTTTGATGTTCTTCAGTAAATGTGTCTTCATTGTGTAAGCAAGGTTGTGCCACCTGCATAAAGCTGGTTGTTGTTGGGTCTTTGTTCAATCCTGACACTACACTGTACACAGTCCAGCTTCTATCTTCATTCAGCACACAGGTTGAATAGGTATGGAGAAAGGCTACGACACTTTTCCTGATCTTAAAGCATGTGATGGTCCCTTGTTCTGTTGAACTAATGTATAGGTTTCACATGAGACAAATTAAATCATCTGGGATTCCCATTCTTCTCAATTTGGCCTATAACTTATTATCCACACAGTCAAATGTCTTTGCATAGTCAATAAAACATAAGTAAATATCCTTCTGGTATTCTCTACTTTCAGCCAGGACCTGACATCCTCAATGATGTCCCTCTCTCCATGTCTTCTTCTGAATTCAGTGGGAAGATAGCTTTGGCAAACATGTCTGCTTTCACAGTTTTGGAGGTGAGAGATTTTTGGAGTTTTTGGAGATAGTATTCATCCATCCATGACAGTGGGGAATTCCAGAACACTTAGTTGTACTACTGTGAAACTCAACATCAGCTATGAGACCATCACTTCAACAGGACAAGGGTGTGTGGGGGGGAAGCAGGAAAGGACTCTTCACTGTTAGAGAATTTCTTTTGCCATGTTTATATGTTTAACAAATAATTTGAAAAACTAGAATATATGAAGAATGTACTATTAAGAATGGAGACTTATTAACAATGTGCGATATGTAGATGGCACTGACTCTGCTTGCTGAAGGTGAAGACATGAGTATGTACTAATAAAGATCGAGCTATTAAATGTCACTCATTGCCTGCCCTTTTCACTACTGTTTGCAATAGTACCTTGGGCTGTAACTTCCTTTGTAAATTATTTCCGCTGGCTTCTTTGAAGAAAGAATTTTTGGGGTCAGTGTTTGATATTTGTTCTGACCACAGACACTCTGCTCCCAGGAGTCTTATTCAAGTCTCTGCTGCAAACTAGCTTTCAGTCTAAGCTGTGTCATTCACTAGATCCCCTACTCCTTGTGCCCTCCACGTTCGCTCTTCTGAGTGCTTTGTAATTTAAAATTTATGCTCTGCTACAAATGAATTCCTTAGGAAATGAACTAGGAGTGGTCTGACTTAGGCTTTACTTTTCTTCTCCGGAAAAATCTGTAAGTCAGGAATCTGGAACTGGTTATGGGAACAATGGCAAGTCTGTCTTTGAGAGACAGCCTGCCAGGTGGAAGGGGGCAGCATGAAACCACCACATTATGAACTAGTTAGGGCTCTCTGAGTCCCGGTATTCTCAGTGCACCAAGCCCAGGAGTAGGAGTTGGGCAGAGGAAGGAAGAAGCATCCACTCGTGATCTTTACAGACTTTTGATGTGATTAGAGCCACAGTTTGCAGAGAACATTCTTTCTGCTCAGCAGTTCCTGTGCCTTTTGGCTGCGGTCCCCAGTGGAGCAGCACTGTGCTTTTCTGCCTCTGAGTACCGTTTCATTTTCTCCTCTCTGATGCCATCCTGCCTCTGAGCTTTATCCCCGGCCACATACTATCCTTCTGGTCTGAAATGGTTGTGAGGCCCTAATTCCTGGTGATGGTGTTCATATTACAGGCTTGTATGTTTGGCTGAAGGTCAAAGTGTGAGGTGAGTTCAGCTCCAAGCTTGAGGAGTAAGTCTTTGTCCTTATCAGTAAGCCTGGTTTTTTGGTTGATTTAAAAAAAAAATAATTTTGTGTCCTGTTGCACATTTTTCTCCCACTCTGTGCCCAGCCTCTCGTTAGGATCTTTTTCTGTGCACTTGACAATAGTAGCTGGGCACCACCTAGTCTCTCTGATCTCAAGGTTGTGGAAGTAAGGTTAGGCCTTCAGACTCATTGTTCTTTATGTCTTTGACTTTCTTCACTCTCCTTTCCTCATTGTTAGGTCAGTGAGAACAAAGGGAACATGGACTTGCGGGTCCAAGGCCAAAACAGGAACACAGAACCAGGCCAGCAGCAACTGCCCCAGAGTTCCATGCTTGGCCTGGAGCATCACAGCCTTGGAGAAGTGCAGAACTGCTGTGAGCTTGGAGGAGACCTGTGATCTCCACGGAAGAAGTTGTCTCTCAGCACTAATCAGAAAAAGCCACTAACTGCAAAGGCCAGAAGGTTTGGTTAGGAAGAAGACTCCGTTGATACAGGGACTCTGCCCTGGGCCCTGTGCCGTCTCACAGGAGGAAACCGCTGACTTAGACTGTGCACTGTGCTTGGCTGTTTGTATTTCTTCTTTCACTAACAAACACGATACTGCTTGCTTTTGTGTCTCTCTGTGGCATCTTCTTCAGTGGACGTTGATAGTTTCCTCCCAGATGTTCAGTCCTGGGCATCTTCTACACTGGTGCCTGAGCATAACACCAGGACGAGAGTTGGCTAAGGCACCTTGTTGTTGTTGTGTGCCGTCAAGTCAGAACCGACCCAAAGCTGACACTGCAGCAAGTTTTCAGAGGCCGTTTAATTGGCCATCCTCCATGGGGCAGCTTCCAGATTTGAAATACGTGTTTTTCAAATTGCAGCACAGCCTCTTACCACTAGGCCACCAGAGCTCCCCCGTGGGTACATTCCTGCCCCTTGACTGCACTTGCATGGGATTTAGCTGGGGACTTTAGGCCGGAGCAAGGGGTCAGTATAAACAACACTGACTCTCTGCTGCTCCCAAGAAGAATACCCTCCAGTTGGATTCTGGGGTGTGAAGGGTAGGGGTGAAGAGAGAGTTCTGTGCTGATGCAGCAGTCTGGGTCTGCATCTCCATTGTATTACAAGTAAAAAGTGAAGGCTGGAACCTGGTCAGGGTCGGAGAAGGAGACCACAGGTGTTTTCCTCTGAACTGTTACTAAGGAGACCGCAGGTGTTTTCCTCTGAACTGTTACTTCCAACTAGTAATACTGCCCCAGGGCAAAGTCACTGGAAGCCCTGTGAAGGGTTGCTGTGGTCAGATCCACATGGCAGTGGATTTTTAAAATTAAAATCAGAGTGCTGTTGGCAGAGTCAATTACATGCTGGGCTGCTGATTGAAAAGTTGGCACTTTGAATGTATAGGCTGTGTGTGTATGTGTGTGTGTGTGTGTGTGTGTGTGTGTGTGTGTGTCTAGTGGCCTAGTGGGTAAAGAGTTGTATTTTCAACCCAATGGCAGACAGTTCAAATCTGCCCACTGGAAGTTCGGCTAGAGCACTTGGGGAGAAAGCTGGGCCATCTCCTGTGATGGTCTCCACGAACTTGCCTTGGCTGCATGACTGTGGGTTTAGTTTTTAGAGGGTAAAATCACCACAGAGTTACAGTGAAGGAAGACTTTTA